TCTGCTGCCCCAGCTGAAAGCTGAAGCTGTGCCCTGAGACACAACCCCTCCCACTGGAAGGTTGTTCACCATATCCCAGCACCAACAGAGACATCCAGTTCAAATTACTGAAAACAAATTTCTTCCTGCTCGGTTGCTTGAGTGCTCAAAGGACATTGTTGTCTGGGCCCATGCTGTATGACAACAACAAAAACCCTGAAATTTTTCCACATTAGGTCCAAAAGCCACTGTGCAATTGAGGTTCCCCATAGCTGACAAATGCCTAAACCAATCATAGCACCTACTGCTATGACAAAGATAATTACTGCCTTTCCGTCGGTGAAGTGTGTACCCTGCTCTGTATCRTATTTAAAATAATCTAATTCCAACTCATTTTCCCCCTCCAAATTGCTTCCAGCTGTACAATTCCTTTTTTTCCCCCATATTGTTTTTATTGGATATMGTGCAAGTTCGTAAAGATAGATTTTCCCATAATAAATACACAGATGTTAGAATAATAAACACAYGGTCAACCTGATATATGAATATTACTAAGCCTTAACAAATATATAACAAACAACATAAATTGATTTTAAAAAACTGAAAATGAGAACATGAAGTAGCAGAGAAAGAAACGTCAGGAGGAAATAAAGGCAAAAAGCGAGCTAGAAATGTACTCACTTTAGCAAACTGTCTGGATTCATTTATGGCTCCCTTTATTGATTTGCTGATAGCATTAAAGCTCAGCTATGGCTGTGCAGCATTCCTCAGAATGCTTCATGTGTTGGGAGCTCTCTGCTCACACTGAAAGCCAACATTTCCAAATTGGCCAATTCATACCACGTTAGACACTACTGAGTGGGATTAATTCATCTGTTGGGACACAAATATCCATTTTTGGAGAATAACAGGCTTCTCTACTCCTCCCATTTTTGTTTTTATGAACATTTGGCATCCCAGTCAAACCATCATTTTAGCCCAGAATAATTTGACTGGATTCATATGTGGAATCCAAATTTTATTGAGCCTAMATATGGCCTGAACCAAGAATAATTTACAGGCTGACACCCCCCAGCATGTATGACAGGATGCCAACTGCTTCTCTGTGATGCCATCACTGACACATCCTTCATGCCCAATTCCTCTGTTTTTCCAGTCCACAGCTAAAACACAGAATTGAGAGTGGAATTACAGTGTTACCTGTTCCAGCACAAACAAACAGAGCAAGAATCACTGCTGTTTAGGAGTTTCTCTCCTTCAGAAGTTGTCCCCCTCCTTTTCCTCATCTCCCGTTTGGAATTATCCATCCTCTCCCCATTTTTGTGTGCGTGTGCACCAGTGCATGCYTGTAGAAAACTGTGACATTCAGGTTTATGTTCTGATTGTGTTTGCCAAAAGTCTTCTTCACCYGGGAGTTCATAAAGTCCATGCACAGACTTTGTTTCTAAAACTGCAGAGTTTTCCTCACCCTCCTCATTTCTGCCTGGAGAGTGAGTGAAAACTTGGGGGAATGGGAAGTGACAGGAAATTTCTCAAGATGTTYTTCTCCCAAACATCCCCCAGCAATCAGAGCTGTAACCTCCCTTCAGATGCAKCCTTTCAGCACACTAGAAAACTACAGCTCAATACAAAAGGTAAGACACTAAAAAAAAATTGGAAAAAAGCTCTTTTGCATCAGTAACCCGATAGGACCAGAGGCTTTTACTTTTCCAGATCAGGGTCCTTGCTCTCAAAATATTAGAAGGGCAATTACCTTTCAACAATGGTACATTGGTACATCAATACAATTTATACCAATAATAACAATGGTTACCAATRATAACATTTGATACTGGTCTTTTTCCATTGATTTTTAAATTTTTTAATTTGTTAATCCATTTGTTTAAGAGGCAATCATTAAAGAGGCTTAAAGCAAGAAGAATGAGCGGAGAGAACAGAAGATTCTGTGAGAAGYTGGCATGAAAACGAGGGATGAGTGMAGGAAGGTGACAAATGCAAGAATGTRCAAGGACATGGCAAGAAAAGTGAGKRCAGGACTGACTTTCTTTGGGGATGGCATGACTGTGGAAAAGTTCCCAGCTACAGATGCCCCAAAATAAGCTACACACAATGCTTGGCTAATTCATCCCTTCTACAGCCTTTGTTCATACTACTAATTTAGACTTCCCTGTCACTTTTTATCTCTGGCTGCTATAAATCACCAACAYRAATGTCCCATGCCTGCCTTCTACGYTTGCTATTCTGTCCCTTGGACYATTTGAATTGTTTTTAATGCAGATTCCATGTTCTGTATTGGTGTGAAGCACCTCTCTGAATAAATAGCTCCTCACTGACCCAGCTCAACAAACTGAGGATCTCCCTGGCACAGCAGGATCCCCAGAAGCCACAGGRGGGGACATGTGGCTTAAGAGTAGATCCTCTCTCTCCTGTGCAGCATGAGATCAATTAATATMATGTTATCACTGCTTCCTTTCCCTCTCCACCCTGAAAAACTCACTTTCAGTGTTCTCCCCAGGTGAATCTGGATGAAGCTTTCCTCTGGGGTGAAGCGTAAAACATTTTGTATTAATCATTTTTTTTCAGCATGTTCAGGTACAACAAAATGGCTGGTTTAGTGTTTCTGCATGTGTCAGACACAGATGTGTTTTGTTACACATATGCATATTTATGCTCACAAATGTTTTACTTGCAAGTAGTGGGTTTTTAAATCTTTGTCCATTTTTTAATGTTTTAGTGTAACTTGCTAGTATAATTACACAGCTTCCTAAAATCCGATCYTTTTCCTGGTACTGACCTAATCATCTCTGGGTGTTACTCCACTTATTAAAATAATAAAGGCATGTGGATTATGGGGTTTTTTATAGACCTGCATGGAGGTCATCTGGCTGGGCTGGAAGGGGTCATATAAACCTTCTCCATCCGTTAAAATCTGTGTGGTTTCACACCCAACAAATGTCAGAGCAGAACTCAGCTGCTGCAGCCAAGTTTTGTCTGTGTTTGGGTTAACCCATGAAAAAACCCACCCARTTCCCCATCAGTTATTTCAGGCTTGCAAGAAACCACCCAGGTTCAGTGGAGAGGTCAAGAACCTGGTGAGCATTTTGGTAAATATGGCTTGAGCAGTGGCTYGAGAAAACCCTGAGTTTTTCCAGCTTTGTATAGTCTGAGAAGCCTGATAGCTGGTCCATCCTGATAGCAAAAAAAAAATCTGTTCTTTGTAGCTTTTACTTTGCACAGGAAAGAATTAAAGCACAGCTACAACTTGTCCTCTTTAGGCATTTGAGCCGCACTCACTTGCAAAGGTTTRGAGCATGGAAGGAGACTCTCTATGAGAATTCTTGCTACCCACGAGCACAGTGGTGAAGCTGGGAAGGCACCACAAGGTTCTCATTCTGAAGAGGAGAGCAGAAGCAGTGAAATCCTTTTCACTGGAAAGCCTGGTGAGGGCACCAGCTCTAGCACAACCCTCTGGAGAGGCCCTTCTCAGGCCAGAAGGGATCTCATGGAGGATAAGACAACACACTTTGCTAAGGTCAGAGCACACCTGCAAGCTTTGGCAGGCAAAAMCARAGCATGRAGAAGTACAGCATTCTTGGCAGATRTARATTTTCTGGCAGCAACCTAATTTTGGATACCAACCGAAGGCAAACAAACAATAACAACCAAGGAGGACCAGGCCTGTGCTTCTCATAGTCAAGACATGTGACTATATCTTTTTTTTTGTTCTTTTAGCTTTGAAGGTGGCAGTCAAAAGTTGGGTTAATTCCTGAGTATGATGCMTTGAGGATGTAATTAATGTAATGCTCACAGAACATGACAAATGTAAATCAACCACCCGATGCCAACGGATTCGTTCACTTAGAGCTCTTTACAGCTGAACCACTGTGTCCTTAAGAGTGCCCAGATCTCAGCCAGACTCTCAGATTGGGATGTTCTTTCAAAGACTATTCAGTTCCCTTGTTGTCTCAAACRTAAGTCACTTTTTGGCATTCATTTCATAAAGGTGTCAGGAAAAAACCCTGAAGCCTCGCCCACCAGTGACAACCAAAGCACCGAGAGAGTCCATTCCTCTTTGCACAGATGAAATTAAATGTTATTGCCCTTTTTTTCACACAGTTTTAAGATCTCATGTCTGACCACACTCAGTTGTGCCGGAGGCACAGGACCCAACCGAACCATTGAATTTGAGGGAGAGGTTATAACCCAAAGAAAAATGGGACKCAAGAACAGGCTACAGCCCTGCTGAGAAATTGCATGGTGTCACTCTGAGTGCCCTGCAGACAGSCACCCACCACACCACACCATCCCAACCCAGAGCAGCAGAGAGCAGGGGAGAGGGGGCAGCCCCTGGGGGAGAGAGAAAAGGTCAGCAATAGGCAGAGGATACCCAGCTGGGTGATGAGGAAAATAGTGACCTCAGCGCTGGAAAAAAATTCACAGAATCTCTCCCCTGTGCAATAATATCAGACATAAGCTAAATGAAAAGATATTGATTTAACTTGTGCCAGCTAAAACCTTGTCAGGCCAAGGCCATGTATTATTTTCTTTGAATAGGTTTCCTGCCTCAAATCATTCACAGTATTTTCTTTGCAGTACGATAGCAACACCAGAATGTATCACTGCCACATGTTGGAAGGCYGGCGTGGTAGGAACTGTGCTTCCATCAATTATTTGGGACTCTCCCATTATTTAAACTTCTGGGAAGTCTGCAGAGGGATTTTTCTGAGCTGCTTTTAGTTCATTTCTGATTGGATAATATCCACCACAGTTATCACAGCAACCTGTAACAAGATGAGGGCTGTGCCCTCGGGTGGCTGTGCAGGCACTGAAGCCACTGAAGCTGCACAGAATTGGGTGACTTCATCTGTACATCACCRGGCATTTTTTGTGTTTTTCAGTGGGTGGAAACACACCGGGAGCATCACTGCTGAACTCTGAGGGTTATAAATATTGTCAGGACCAAAGGCCAAAGTAATCCACCCCCAGCATCTCCCCGAGCACGGTGTTAGAGACACCCTTACCTACTCGAAGCTCTTGTCCAAAGACCGTTTTCTCTCCCAGGGCAGAGCAGTTCCACCTCCCGTAGCGGAACTGGTACTGGCACTCATTGATCCCCATCTGCGCCCCTTCCCCGATCACGATGATGGCATCGGGGCGGCTCTGGCAGATCGCTCGCTGCCGAGGCGCCAGCCCTGGGATTTTGTTGCAGATGATGTTAGCTCCTAAAGCCACCACGGATGACAAAGCTCTGCGGAAAGAAAGCAGAAAGGGGCGTTACRACCAAACGGGGGTGACCGTGCGCTCTTGAGAGGGGAAGGGCTGGAGCTTGGCTTCCTGTGATGCCTGTGCCAACTTGGAACAACAGCTTTGGTTTGCTATAGGAGGATGGAAATCTTACAGCAATTCCTGATCTGAGCTGGGCCAGAATAAACCGGGAAATGGAATTTTGGCGGCACTTTTGCTTCCAGTCCTACATGGAGGCRTCAGCTTGTGAGATGTGGGAAGCAAGACTTACTTAAAAGCAAAAAATTGTGATAATTGATCATCCACAAATCTCTGAAACTCATGTCTGCTTTGAATACCAGTTCAGACTCTGTATTTCAGAGTTCATCCACCTCTCATTTGAAACTTAAGCACAATTTAGAGAATTACTTGACGCTACCAAACCTCTTGCCCATTATTAAGCTCAGGGTACTGAATGATTAATGAATTAAAAGCAAAACTGTGCTTTGGATCTGGCAAACGTCATGGAGCACACAGAAGTGATCTTTAATGTGTGCCATCCAGACTGGAAACATTTGCAGTTCTCATTCCTCAAGTATATTTTCAGAATTCATTACAAAGTTTGCCTATAACTTGCACCTGTTTTCACTTTGTAGCGTTTATTTTTCATTTTTCAGCTGACTTTTCAACATCCTCACAGGCTCATTTTTCAACATCCGTAAAGGCTACATTTKGAATGGCAATATTTTGAAAAAAAAGTAGAACAACAGGGTACATTTGGTGATGTCTGAGCACCCACCTATGTGGAGATGCTGCAGATGGCTCTGGACAGGCAGAGTGACCACCCCATGGTCCAGCATTCCACCCTTAGCCTTAAACATCCTAGTGTTCAAAAATTCCCACTGGAAATGMTCCCTTGGGGAAATGCTGACTGAATAAAATTAAAGAATTTATCAACTTCATCACAAGGTAACTGCAAAATCACGTAAATGTCGGGTTTCAGTGAAATCAGAGTGTTTAATATCAATAACTACAGTAAAGGCAGAGCAAAAAGAGTGAAAGGGAGAACTCTTCCCTGGCCAAAATGAAATACTGTCATTGCTGTGGAATGGAAATTCCATGATGGTCCACTCTGCCTTTAATAGGTATTTGTGCATCTTTTCCAAAGTTAACAATCCATGAGGAATTCACCAATTTGGGGTTTTATTAATGGCTGGGGGGTTAAGGATATAGAGATATCACAAACACAGACCATGCAYCCCTGGGGTGCTGCCTGTTTAACAAATGTAAAAACAGAAGGTAGCTGCAGTCTGACCACTCTCAGTGCTGCAGCAGAGTGCTCTGACCTTTAATTAGCTTTAATTTGTGTTCCTCTGGGTGCTGAGCAGCAAAGCTGGAGCATCAGCTGGAACCAGAGAATCCCTGGGATTCATTCAGGTTTTGAGCTAAGGTTTTGTTTCTGGCACAACATGTTTCCCCACTTAAAAAAAAAAAAATTAAACAGTGGTGTCTTTAAATCAGGACTTTCCAAGAGATATGGTAATCTTTTAAAAGTATCATGAGTTTGATGTAGRGGTAAGATTTTGTTTAAAATGGCTTATGACCTTCATGTTATGGCTTCAAAAGCTAATGAAAATCACAGAGGAAAGTATCAATACTTATTTTTTTTTTAAAAATCAGACATTTCCAAATGTTGAAAACCTTGTTTTCTTTGAAAGCTCACGGAGCTTTTCTCTCTCTGACTTCATCCACTTTCCACACAAAGTAGGATGGGCCTTCTGAGAATATTGAGGTAAACACAAAGGAAAGTGCTTTTCCTTGGTAGGTGCTGTACTGAATTCAGACACACATACCCTTGGATGACACTGAAATGCTTTGATGACACTAAATGTCCCTTCTCARCCCATCCCTTGCACCATCTGCCCAATTCCCTGGCACAGATCAGGTGCCCAAGCACCCTGCAAGACCTTCCCACCCCTCACCCATTCCCACTGCTGCTGCAGACACTGACCCTTCCAGAAAAACGTAATCCTGAGGAAATCTGGGCTGGCTCCTGAAAAAGAGACATGCTCAAGGCATTCAAAATTCCATTTGATGCYCAGCACAAGCACAAGACACACAGTTCTGGTCTCTCAGCTGCCTGACACTCACTGAGGCTATGCTTCCAACTCACTAGCACAAATTAAATCTAAAAATTGTTTATATGTTATATGAACACTTATTAAAAATTGATAAAAACTGTGCAATAACGTCCTGGCACCATTTTTTTAAAGCTGCTGAACATTCACAACTTCAACTAACTGCTGTCTCAAACTGAGCAGCAAAACCTTAGGACTTTCAAAACAAAGGAAAGCAAGGAAGAGTTGGCCACAGCATCTAACCCACATATAATTTTCAGTTCAGTTTCTTCCTCCATACACATCACTACTGTCTCATAATTAGGTTAAAGAGTGTATTCTTTGGTCTCCYGTTGTTTTTTGGAGCAGGCTTTGGTCAAGTATTTTAATAGAGTGGGTCAGTTTATTCTTCCAGAAAATAAGCCAGATCATATTTGCCTTAGAAGGTATGGTGAGGGCACCATAATCATTATGTGCTTGTAAACTGTRTTAAAACAATTAAACTGCAATTATTGCGGGTGGAGAGGGGTCTCAGTTTTTCTATTATTACTTCCAGAAACTTCCACCTCACTGGCCTGAATTTACCAGCATGTTCCCTCAGATTTATTTAGGCTGCTTTTAAATTGTTACAGTGCCAAAAGAAATGCTGAATCATGAAAGTGAGGTTTTGGAAAGCTTTATTTATATTAAAGAAATGTACCCAACAGCATTTCAAGCTTCCTCTCYTCTGTTTCTCCCAGTGTCCCTCATTTTGTACATCCCTCACACATTTGGGAGGGTCGTGCTCTGCTCCTGTCCCTTAGCAGGTTGAAGGTTAATTTTTATTTTCTTTTTTTTTTAAATATGGAGATTGTTTCACTTTACAACTGTCAAAAGACAGATCCTCCATGTCGCATYTTGGCAGCTTTTATCTAATCTTTCCTTGTGGTGCAAATTTCCTTGATTCTTATCASCAGAAACTCCTGAGTGTGGCATTTTGTTGAGATTGCTGGTGCCGTTTACAATAATCGTAAATAATCAAACAACAACCAAACCCATCCCCCCCCCCAAAAAAAACCCCTCAAACTGGGCTTTGACAGGACCTTGCAGCTCAAAACTTCCATCAAATTAAGCCTGATGAACAAGGGTTTGGAAGGCTCAGTTTCTGCATAAGWATTCTGAAACATCAAGAATTTTATTCTTTAAAAAATTAACTAGGACTGTGTCAAGGCAAGCAGGAATTCATGGCAATGGGAGACAAGGTTCAGCTTAATTTCGGAAAAAATGCTTTCTTACTGATGCAAAGACAGATGAATCCTGTCACAAAAAGAGAAAATTCTCCCTCCAAATGTATTTCCTGTTACTGCTGTATCTTCTCTCTAAGATCTAAGCAACTCCAGCTTCCTTTTTCACAAAGTGAAATGAAATTTATTAGATATTCTAAGCAAGTCATAAAAGGAAAGATCTTTGAAACACTTCAGAAATGGAACACTAAGGCCTAAAACCATTKGAGTTGCAAGAGCTGCTCATTGGAAGAGAAATGTACTCTTCATTCCTGGTTGGCTTGCTCGAGTCTCTATTTTATATTTACAAATGCAATTCATGAGACATTTCAATTATTCCAAAGGTTATCATGTCCTGGCAACTTGTGATTAATTTTATGTATAGAAAGGTCATCATGTGAACTGCAGTTTATGCAGTCTTTGTACAAGTGGAAAATACAGACAGTAAATTCTTAAAATGGTCAGCTGTGTAAGCACATGAGAAAAAAAAATCTAAATTTTATTCTTGTTAAAAGAATTTGAGTTTTGGTAAAATTCTGAAACAGGACTGTCTGCTTAAAGATGAGGAGCAGTAACCAACCAATCTTTGGAGCTGTCCCCAAGTTCCTGCACAAGCACAGATGTGCACTGAGAGTYCTCCAAAGAGCATAAAATTCCATTCTGACAAATACATGACAAAAGATGCAAAATAAGAGATTAAACCAACACTTGCACACAGATTAAACACTTGATCAAGTTGATTTTAACCTTTTGAGTACAAAAAATTTAAAATTGCTTTAAAAATTCTCTTCCAATCCTTGCTCCCTGGGCAAATTACATTTTATTGGAGCYCAGGAGTGGCTCGAGGAGCTTCTCCTTCTCCCCCATCTCCCTCCCTCCGTTGCATTCCTGGCTGCACAATGGCACAGTGCACATTTCCCACCAAACCCTTGGAAAGGCGGCCATGGGGTCACTCTGATCCCACCCCAGCTCTGCTTCTCGATATCCACCTGAAACCACTGCCGGGCAGGGGCCTCATTTTCAGCAGGAATGAAGGGATTCAGCCACATGAATCCCATGAACAGCAGGCAAGCTGAGCAGTTTTTTGGCACGCTGCACCGAAAACTTGCCCCACCATCTCTGACAAAAAAAAATCCACATAGTGGGCTCTTTGTTAGCAGGAACCACCGAGGTATTTTGTGGTGACACTGCGACACATCTGAAACCGTACACCCCYGCCGAATGGTTGACTTAATTAAGAATTCCTAAGTAAATATTTTGAGTGTGTATCAGTTGCAGAAATTGGCAGGAGCGTCCCGGGCTCTGAATGCCATCTGCATACGTTTAGGGTTCCAGTTTTGGCTTTGGGGAACGGCAGCTCGGCGCACGTGTGATGGAAGGGAAATTCTGGTGCTCTGGGGCTAAATCCCTGCTTGAGAGAGGGATGGGGGCATGGCCACAGGATGGGGGGAACCTCAGCAAAACCTGGGATCACACCCTCCCCAATCTGCCAGCTGGGATGGGGGCAATGAGGCCGGCAGGGAATTATTGAGCTCCAGGATCGCAGATCGGCACCAACAACCACCTCCTGTGAATTCCTGCTGCTCACTGAGCGACAGAAATCTGATTTTAACTTGATATATCTTGTTTGCTCTAAGACTGGTCC